TAAAATGCTTACTTACAAAGGATCAAGCATAAGCAGTTTACATAATCATTTGAAAACAGTGCACGATAAAATAACCGAGAAAAAATCATCTGAGACCGGCGGCCCGAGTCCACAAACAAGTACACAGCGCTGTATTCTTAACTTTGTGAAAAGGACTAGTTTAGAAGAAATTGTATCAAAGCTTGCTGGATTGGATGGACTATCTATTAATTGCATAACAAATAGCTCGTTCATACGAGAGTCATTGCAACAACGAAATTATTGCTTACCACAAAATAATTCTAGAGTTATGAATCTTATTTATAAGTTTTATAAAACTATAAATGAATTAAATTGTATGCAGAATGAAGGGCAACAATTTCTATAGTTATGGATGAATGAACTGGTAAAGGAAATTGAAGATATTTAAATATTAGCGTACATCAACTTGAAAAATATTTGAATTTAGGATTAGCTCCGGTATCAAGCACTTGCGATGCTGAAACAATGTTAAAATGCGTTTCTAAGAAACTAAAAACTTAAACTTAAAGTTGTAAAGTTCCGATAGAATTAGCAGCCGAAGCTTTAGGTAGACAAGACTCAAATTTATTAACAAGTGAAGGTATATTTGAACTTTTTCTGGGTGAAGTATTAAATTTGAAATCCGAAATTAGTCAGAAATTATTACACGCTATAAAAGCACGGAAGCACGGATTAAAGACAAAAGAGATACAGTATTAGTTAGGCTTATTCTTTATTTACAAAATTCTGAAACTGTTTTAACGAAATCTTCTAATAAATTCCTTCCATTGGCAACGAAAAATGACATTATTAAGTTCTCCGGACAAATACATATTATCAAGATCATATAAAGATTACTCTACAGGGGAAGAATGTGATATCGAAATACGTGATGAAAGCGATATTCAAGAGCCAGACAATGTTTTATTGAAAAATGCTATGGAAGTGGCAATTAATGAATATTTAAAGGAACCGCAAGAAGTGATTACCTCTACTCAAACTCTAAGAATAGAGTTTTTGACCCTGGAAGCCACAAATAAAAGGACAAAAAAATTAGAATTATTATATCAGACTTTAAAAACGATTAAGCCTAGTTCGGCTGCAAGTGAGAGGGTATTTTCTATTTCGGGGACGTTTGTGAATAAACTAAGGACACAGCTAAATAGCAAATCGATAGACGTCCTCTGTTTTCTGAAATCATGTTTCATTAAAGAAAAAAACTAATAGAATAGTTAAATTTGTATTAAAATTACCTAGAACAGAAAATACTCGGTCCTTTGCTTAATTGTCTTTAAAACTAAAATTGATTTTATTAAGTATGTATGGAGAAACTTTATTTACTGTTGTCTTTCGGCTTTGATTATAATTTACAATATAGAATAATACACAGTCATATATTTTCTAATTGTTTTTAATAAGTACCCATCTGTATCTAATAACATTGTTTTTTTTAAATAGTATGGTTATTATAAAAATATGAAAATATATTCTTTTTATTTATTCGAACCCTTTGCTGAATAACTCGTTTCACTATTATAAAAATATTTACATCCTTATATGTGAAAATTATGGATAAACAACGAATAATTGCTTTTAAAGTTATTTAATCCTGGTTAACTATTATTTCTTTGTTCTACTAAATTGCATAAAACAAGTTTTACTATCAATAAAATTGAACAGTAAGTAATTTCAGTCAAAAACTGCTTTTAATCACTCTAAATTTTATGTTAGAATTTTTTGTTCAAATTGCAGAATATTCGAGCAAACATTTTTTTTATAAAAATTTGTAACCGGTTAAAACCGGTTTTCTGGAAAAAAAATACTATTCGAAAACCGGTTTTCTAAAATGTCGAGCTTTGTATAAACCCTAACTAGGGCTAATTATCAAAATAAGACATCCCCAAAGTTCAATGCTCTATCCTTCATTCCAATTACTGGAAGAATGTCCAAGAAGAAAAAAGTAACACAAACTCTGATGCAGTTGACAATGCAAGACAAATTGAAAAAATGCCACAGTTAGACGACTGTACAACCCCTAACAAGAAAAATATCTCTATTTGAACATTATATAAACTGCAACTAATTGTTTATTTATTATTTTTAAATTAAGTAATTGTAATTGTTAAGTATTTTTTGAATAAATGTAGTTTATCGTTGTTACTTGCTGAAGTGGAAATAGAATTTATACTCGTATTTGTTAGCTTCCTCTATCCATCTGGACGTATTAATGACGCCCTAATTTTTCATTAAACATTTAAAAAACATTTTAGAGTGGAGAAGTGTCAAGTCTTCTATTGGGTTGCTAGCTAATTATAATGCTTAATACCAAAGACACAATTTAAACTTGAGATGTTCCAGAAGCATAGTTTGAAGAAGTCAATGTATTTATTCACAGCATAAAACTTTCCTCAGCAGCAAATAGGGTTTCGGTTCTTATTTCTTAAATCCATCAATAAATCGATCAAACAAAAAACATAAGTGTACTGGAACAGGAATGCATATTTTAATTTCAAATATCTTGAAGTAATTTTTAAAGAACATAATAATGTAATTAAATTTAGTCGTCGGTAACATTAAACGGTTACATAATCGGTTTGATTTACTTTCGATAACCGCATATTGATGTCGTTAATTTGTTTCTGCTTCAATTCAAGATCATCAACAAAACCTGACAATAAATTGGAGCACTTTGAAAGGTTTTAGAAAGGAATCAGAAGATCGAGTTTCTATTTGAATAAACCAATCATGTGAACTATTCATATAAGATATTAATCTCACTGAATTAACGAATGTTCAGAAATATATAAAATACTTACACATAAAAAATCTACCAGCTAAAACCAAATTATTGTTTAATTAAGTAGATAATTATTTTTAGAATGTCTCTAAGTAAACCAGTGTCGATGCTTCAGATTATCTTCGATCAAACAGTTTCATTAA